TAGTTCTTCATAATTTTTCTGGTTACGATTCGCATCTAATTTTAAAAGATATTTCTAAAAAATATATCCTCTCTTAGAATTATTCCCATTAATATGGAAAAATACACTACATATACTTTAGATTGTTTTAAATTTTTTGACAGTTACCATTTTTTAAATTCATCATTATCAAGTCTAACTGAGGATTTAATAAATTCAAAATACGACTTTCCGATTTTTAATCAATTTTTTTCGAATAATAAAAATAGCTATTTGTTAAAAAGAAAAGGTGTTTTTCCATATACTTTAGATTGTTTTAAATTTTTAGACAGTTACCATTTTTTAAATTCATCATTATCAAGTCTAACTGAGGATTTAATAAATTCAAAATACAACTTTCCGATTTTTAATCAATTTTTTTCGAATAATAAAAATAGCTATTTGTTAAAAAGAAAAGGTGTTTTTCCATATAATTGGTTTAATAATATTTCAAAATTAAATAATAATTCTTTACCGGATAAAAAATGTTTTTACAACGATTTAACTAGAAGTCATATAAGTTCGGAAGATTACGATTTAGCTCGGCTTGTGTGGAAAGCTTTTAATTGTAGGAAATTTTCAGATTATTTGCAATTATATCAATTTGTCGATACAATTTTACTAGCTGATATTTTTTCAAATTTTCGAAACTTATCGTTAAAATATTACGATCTCGATCCAATTCATTTTTTAACTTGTCCAAATCTTACATTTATTGCGGGATTGAAAATGGCTAAAATAGAACTAGAGCTATTTACCGATTTAGATAAATACTTATTTTTTGAATCTTCAATCAGAGGTGGTTTATCGCTTCTTGCAAATAGATACTCTCATGCAAACAATCCGTACATATCACAAACTTACGATAATTCGAAACCCCATAGCTACATAATAACGATTGATAGCAATAATCTATACGGATTGAGTATGGTTCAATATCTCCCATATTCAGAGTTTCGTTGGTTGCGACAATCCGAAATTGACGAATTTAATATTAAAAATGTTTCTTCAAAATCCGAAATAGGATACATACTCGAAGTTGACTTAGAATATCCGGTTTCGCTTCACGATAGACATAATGATTTACCCCTCGCAGTAAGTCACGAAACAATAGAATACGATGATTTATCTGAATATCAGAAATCGCTTTTATCTTCTTTAAATCTAAAATTTAACAATAATGTTAAAAAATTAGTTCCGACTTTAAAAGATAAATTACGTTATATTGTACACTATAGAAACTTAAAATATTATCTAAAGGAAGGATTAATTTTAAAAAAAATCCATAGAATACTTTCTTTTAAACAAGCGCCTTACTTACAACCATATATATTTTTTAATAATGAAAAACGAAAACTTAGCAATAGTCAATTCGACAAAAACTTTTTTAAATTAATGAACAATAGCTTCTATGGTAAATGTATGCAAAATGTGCGTAAAAAAATTAATTTAAAAGCCGGATTGAATAAAGATCAATGTAAGAAGTATCTAAACGATCCTGCGCTAGAGAGTTTCCAAATAATCAACGAAGACTGTAGTGTTTTTAGATTAAAGAGAACAAATTTATTACTCGATAAACCATTATACATAGGTTTTTGTGTTTTAGAGTTGAGTAAGTTACATATGTATCAAATATATTACGAAGTATTTAAAAATTATTATAATGATAGAGTTAAACTTTTGTATACAGATACTGATTCTTTAATTTTAGAAATTTACACAGACGATATTTACGATGATTTTAAAAATAATCTTCCGAACATATTTGATTTTAGTAATTATCCTCTAGACCATCCATTATACAGCGAAGAAAATAAAAACGAATTAGGATTTTTCAAAGATGAAGCAAAGTCGTTTGCAATATCGGAATTTGTAGGTTTAAAAGCTAAAATGTATTCGATTTCTGGAGAGCGTTATGAGAAAAAAACGGCAAAAGGTATAAATAAATCAGTTGTAAAATCAACTTTTCATCACGAGCTATATAAAACTACTCTATTTAAAAAACAACAACTTCGTCATAACCAAACTCAAATAGTTAGTAAAAATCACGTTCTCACGACTCAATTTCAAAATAAAATCTCACTTTCCGCTTTTTACGACAAGAAATACATTTTAAGTAACGGAATAGATACTTTATCTTATGGTCATTATTCTATTTCTTCATAGACATCTTTTCAATCCATTTTTTTTAAAAATGTAATCATTTATTATTATTGTAACCGTTTTTTTTTATCTTAAATAAAAGAGATTAATTTTATATATTTTTGTTGTAATTCATATTAATTTTATATATTGTTGTATTTGATAATAATTTTATATATTGTTGTATGTTATATTAATTTTATCAAATAAAAGAGAGAGAGAGAATCGTTGTCGTTTATTTGTTCACTGTCGCGACACGATAAATATCGTTAAAAAAAAATCGATATATAACGAAATAGCATGATTCGATTAGCAACGGTTTAATATATTTCTTACCAGATGACACCACTCGCAAAAATGATAATCGATGTGTTAATAAAAATAAAATATTAGTTCGCTTATACAAAAATAATAGTTCTCTTATATATAGAAAAATAATTTAAATATATAACTGTTAAAAGTGTTTGTACTTAAAATTAAGGAATCCGAGAATTGTTTTTTATAGTTTACAATATCCTTAGTCTTGTCAAAGATATATATATAATTTCATTTGCGATATCTTATAACGGAACGATTTATTCCAGAAACTCTCGTTCAAATCTCGCGGAGAAGTATAACCGAAGGGGCATCGAAAATGGGTGTGGTTTCGACTCCTATGAGAGTTTCTGGGATGGTAATTATCTCGGAATCACTCGAGAGATTCTGCGATTTTGCTCGATTTTAGCCCCTGCTCAACGTCTTTCCCTCAAAATGATGAGAGTTTCTGGGATAAAAGTTATAAACCTCGCAAAGTTAACCAAATTATCCCAGAGTCTCTCATACATATACTACTAATAGGTACTCACAGAAAAAACCAAACAATGAAAATTAAATATTTAGGTGTTATTCTTGACAAGTGTCTTAACTTCACACCCTACATCAAATACATCACAGACAAAGCTAAAAAGATGACCAACGCCCTCATTAGTATTGCTAGGAACACATGGGGCCTTGGCTCTACCCCACTAAACTTATTTACAGCCAGCACTCATCTATGCTGTACAGGTCTGGGGCCACGTGGCTGCCAAAGTCCATAACCATAAAAACAACTGTTATCTGTTCAAAGGACTGTAACTCTCCGCATTTGTAAGGCTTATAGGACTGCACCCACCAGCGCCCTTTTGGTAATGTCATGATTGACCCCTATAGATTTAGAAATTAAGTGCATTATTTGGCAGGGAAATCTCGTCACCTTACTCTGGTGAGATTATAGCAACTCAGATGTCGACAAAATGATCAGAGTAGGTAAAATTCCCCCCAGTTTGACCTTGATCAATAATATCAAAAATTTCAGCATCAACAAAAATACCCTCCTGACTTACAATTACCACCCCTTTCCATCAGTTTGCTCCTGATATTTACTTTGAAGATCCAGGCGATCATCCCATATTTAGGATTTACACTGATGGTTCCAAGATGGATGACAATGTGGGTGCCGCTTTTGTAGTTTACTCCGACTTAGGCCACAAGCTTCACAATGCTTGCTTCCATCTAGGTACACACTACTCAATAGCACAGGTGGAAATTTTAGCTATTTATATGAGCTTAATTCACATTACATGTAGGAAGGACAAAACACATTACTTACACTATCACATTTATTCTGACAGTAGAGTAGCTTTACACAGGACTGCGAAGTCTGATAGCTGCTTAAAACTCATCCATCTCATACACCACATTCTCAGACACTTAGACGACAACGTTAGAATAGATTTCCAATGGGTCCTGGGTCATGTGGAGGTTCTTGGCAACGAGACTACTGACCACCTTGCCAAACAAGATGCAAAGTCTTCAGTCACTAGTACTTTAAGTTACATTCCTAACTTATACATCAACAATCATGTCAAGAAAGAAATCTTCATTCTCTGGCAAGACAACTGGGACCATGACACCACTGGTAGGCTCACCTACACTTTCATCCCCAAGGTTGACACTACTGCAATTCTTCACCACTTTTACCCTAGTTACACCCTCACTCAGCTACTTACAGGACACAGCAACTTTAAAGCAATATTTGCATAGATTTAACCTTGGGGACAATCTATAATGTGATTATGGTATTCAGGAGGACCAAATACCACTTCACTTAGTTTTTTGCTGCAATTGGTGTAATCACATTAGGGAAAGTTTAACAAGAACTGCTATTCTTGAAGGATACAACTGGTCTTGCAACCTGCACCAACTCATTTACACATGTACAATGTTCCATCATCTACTCACATTCATATCCCTTAGTGGGGCTCTTGAGAGCACTCACTCCAGGAACATGGATGGCAATTAGCTTTCCCTTGCTTTGTTTCAACTGTAGGTATATAGCTGCCTTTCAAATTTGTATTTTAATTCTTGTTTTCTGTCTTCTTCTTCAGTGTAAATTTGGTTAGTCCTAGTTGTAAGTTAGATTAGGGACTCTTAGCTTGGGTTCCGATTATGTTATGATAGGTTAGTTTAAATTAGATTAGGGTTTGTTAGCTTTAGTCCTCTGGTTAGATTTAGATTTGTCTTAGGTTATGGTAGGTTAGTTTAGTTAGTGAGAAGTTAATGTTAAAAATCATAAATAAATAAATACATAAAAATAATAAAAATAAAAAAATTTTTTTGGGGTCTTGCTCATTTGTCTCTGTCGGTCCGTTCATCTCATCTAGTTTGTCATTGTGTTCATTTGCTTTTCATGCTGTCTGTCTAGCTGTTAAATAGTATTATGATTCATGATCGCATGTTCAGTTTTATTAGTATTAAGTAGATATAAGTCTTCCTACTAACTACTAACAGCCACTTGGAACTAACTTCTACACTTAGCTATTCATGGCAGCACTCAATTATTGGTGTTCGCTAAACTCAGGTTTTTCTTTTAGACCTTTTGGGGGACTAGGGCCTTGCAGCCTAAAAACTGCATGCCAACATTAAACATAGAAGATACTGTAGCCATACATATGCCATTCAGAGGGATCCTACCTTTCTCTACTGTCTGTCTCCTCTCCTTCCTTCTTCCCCCCTTCCCCTTACCCTCTTTTCTGCCAGTTAAACACTTTATGTACAGCCGATGTCTTTCTTTTATGTATGTCTGTATGCTGTCTTACCTGTTTCCTGTTTTGTAATGGTGTAGTACATACAGATGATGAATTCATTCATGTTTTGAGTTCATTTAATCCTTTAGCATGGTTTTTTAGTCTTAGTGGACATTGGCTGGATTGCCACCAAAGCACTTTGGATTAGTGTGTGTTGTCCATTGTGCATGAATGAAGTAGTGAATGTATTTGTGATGCGGTAGCCAAACTTGGACCAGTGCTATATTTGCCACTGGTGACAAGGGAGATTGTGGCAAATTTTTCAAATGCAAGTCTCTTCCTACCCCACAAATATGAATCTTGTTAACCCAGGCAATGTCTGACTGGTATTATGCTGAGAAAGTGTCACAACCATTTTGTTTTTCTCCACAAAAGTGAGTATACTTACATAACTATTATTTATTTATGTTATTAAGTAAAAAATTGATGCCAGAGATATAGTGAAACATCTGTAAATTCTAAGAAATATATTTTTTTATTTTGGTTATTATAAATAGATTCTTTATGATTCTTAAATACTTTTTAAAATATTAACATAATTTAATATATTTCAATTGTACTTTAAGATTATATTTCAAATATTTTTATAGTTGGAAAATATATTTGAAAATAACATAATTACTTTTATATATTCTGATAAAATAAAGTTATTATTTCAATAATAAATAAAATAGTAATGACTCAAATATACATTTAATAAACATGTAAATNGAAGCGGGACTCGAACCCACAGTTTATTCTAAATTAATTAAATATTATAATTATTAAATTTAATATGAGATTGTAATTAATGCATCCCTCTAGTGCCAAATTTATTTGTAATTCGTAATTAATATTTCAAAATTATAGCCCAATTATTTACGGCAATCGTAAGTGTCTATTTAACAATTTCTTTATTTTCTTAAATTTATCTCTTATAAAATTCTATAATTTAGTGATACTAAGTGTAAAGTGTTAGTTTTGGTTTTGATGATGGAACATTTTGATTTTAATATTTATATATAGATAAAGATAACGGCCCTGGATTTCGATTACACTCTAAATTACATTTATTTAATAGCAAACAACAAAAGAAAATTTATAACATATTTTTGAAATCGAAGCAAATTTTTTATGTTAATTTCAAAAAATTAGATGATAAATGAGTTTAAACAAGTTTAATCAAAATTAGTTTCAACCAAAGTTATAAATTATTTCATTGTATTCTAAACTTTTAATATTATAACTTATAAAACACAGCTCAGTCGTAAATTAATAGTGCATCAAGCAATGAAATACTGTCTATAGTAATATAAATCTTTCTGAAATAATTTTTAAAATATGAAAATATTTTAATCAATCCTTATATATACTAAAAGCAAAATATTCTGTCCCTGCCAAAATCAAAACTAACATTTTACAAAGAAGCAGCGTGTAAGTAGGTCACACTGGGTCACTTGTAGGGTCTACAATTCTTTCCTCAACAAAACCACCCATTAACTTTCTGTGTGGACTTGGCATGAATTCATGGAAAGGGTTAACAAAGGGAAAGGAAGGTCTTTGCATAGGGATAGAAAACACAAAAGACTTGAAACTGAAGAGATGGCTATTCGTTTGCTTCCGTAGCAACTATCTTTTTAAGTCTGATTTTTGAATAGTAACCTTTTGTTATATACAAAATGCAGATATAAAAACTAAAACTAAGTGTATATTTTTAATAATTTTCATCTGTATATATATTGAAAGCAAAATCTTGTCACTGCCACACAAAAATAATGTAAATTTAATAAAAATTAATTTCATTTACAATTTGAAAATTTCAAACAACTTTTACATGGTCTTTTAAAAATGTTTTAATTTTCAATTAATTAGTTTTGATTTTATTTTAATTTTGGTTTCAGTTTTGATGATTAAAACACTGGCTTTACATTATTTTATTATTTTTAAATTTAATTATTTTTAATTTTAATTATATTTTGGT